TGAAAATTCTCTGTTGAGGAGGGCAGGAGGGCAGAAATGAGATCACGGAGGGATTAAGACTTTTCACTACATGCCTTCTATTTCTCTCAAATTATGTACCAAGTACATGCAATGCCTATTAACAAAATATCTGTATTAAAAAAAACACTTTGGAAAAGAATATGGCAGTTTTTTAAAAACCTAGCATACAACTTAACCATTCCTGAGTATTTCATTTCCAAGACAAATGAAAACTTAGGTTGACACTAAGACACCAAGTTTCATAGCCTCTTTATTTACAATAATAAAAAACTGGAAACAATCCAAATATCCTTCATCAGATGAATGGATAAACCAATTGTGGTCCATTCATACAATGGAATACTACTGAGAAACAAAAAGAACAAATTACTGATACATGTAACAACACAGATGAATCTCAAAACGATTATACTGAGTTTTAAAAGTCAAATAAAAAAGAATATATAATTATGATTCCCTTTATATAAAATTTTAGAAAGTGTAAACTAATCCATAGTGATAGAAAACAGACCAGTGGTTGCCAGGGGGCTTGGGGTAGGGAAGAGGCATAAACTCAAAGGGGCATGAGAAAGCCTTTGGGGTATGGAAATGTTCATTATCTTGATTCTGGTGATAGTCTCATGGAGGAGCATCTATGTCAAAACTTACAAAGCTGGGGCGCCTGGGTGGCTCAGTCAGTTAAATGTCTGCCTTCGGCTCAGGTCATGATCCCAGGGTCCTGGGATCAAGCCCTACATGGGGCTCCCTGCTCAGCAGGGAGTCTGCTTCTCCCTCTCCCTCTGCCCCTCCCCCAGCTCATGCTCGCTCGTGCACGTGCTCTCTCTCTCTCTCTCAAATAATAAATAAAATCTTTTTAAAAAACTTACAAAGCTGGGCGCCTGGGTGGCTCAGTCGTTAAGCGTCTGCCTTCGGCTCAGGTCATGATCCCGGGGTCCCGGGATCGAGTCCCACATCGGGCTCCCTGCTCGGCAGGAAGCCTGCTTCTCCCTCTCCCACTCCCCCTGCTTGTGTTCCTGCTCTCGCTATCTCTCTCTGTCAAATAAATAAAATCTTTAAAAAAAAAAAAAAAACTTACAAAGCTGTACATATTTATTATATGTTCAGTTTACTGTACATCAATTATATTTCAATAAAATTATAAAAAACACAGTGCAGGAGGAATGAACTAGATCTTAAAAATGTAACTGGGTAAAAAAGCAATACTAAACAATACTGTATTTTGGGTAGGGGTATCTTTTTTTTTTTTTTCCCAAATGGAGAGGACTGATAGACTCATTGAGTCAAAAGAGAAAGTGAGGTAGAATTTAAAAATTTAAAAGAACAGAAATCATATGAAGTGTGTTTTCATACTATAATATGGAATTAAAGCAAAAATCCAGAACAGAAAGATCACTGGAAGATCTGGAGATTAAGCTATATCCTTCTTTTTTTTTTTTTTTAATTTTATTTATTTATTTGACAGAGAGGCACAACAAGAGAGGGAACACAAGCAGGGGGAGTGGGAGAGGGAGAAGCAGACTCCCCACTGAGCAGGGAGCCCTAGGCGGGGCTCGATCCCAGGACCCTGGGATCATGACCTGAGCCGAAGGCAGATGCTTAACCAACTGAGCCACCCAGGCGCCCCTAAGCTATATCCTTCTAAATAACACATGAGTCAAAGAAGTATCGAGAGAAACTAAAAAAATATTTTGAACCAAATAAAAATGAAAATATGACATCAAAATCTGTGGGATACAGCAAAAGCAGTGCTTAGAGGGAAATCTATAGCATTAAAATGCACATATTAGAAAAGAAGAGCTAAAATAAAAAAATCTAAGCTTCCACTCCAGGAAAGGAGAGAAGAGCAATGCAAGCTTAAAGCAAGCAGAAGAAAAGAAATACTAAAAATGAGAACACAGATCAATGAGAAATGAAAAGAGGAAAACTGTAGAGAAAATCAACAAAACCAAAAGCTGACTTTTCAAAAAGATCATTAAATTGATAAACCTCTAGCCAGGCAAACCAAGACAATGAGCGAGAAGACACAAATAATCAGTATCAGAAATGATAGAAGGGTCATCACTACTGATCCCACAGACACCGAAGTAAAATAAAGGAATATTATGAACAACTCTAGCCACAAATTTAATAGCTTAGATGAAACAGATCAATTCCTTAAGACACAAACTACCAAAACTCAAACACACATGACCTGCAGTAATACAAACTACAAATGCAAGATGGCTTCCAACCTGAACTCAAAGGAGGCATACGACATGAGCAGCAGTGGGGGTACACAAAGAGTCATCAGGGAAGTAGTATCTTTTTTCTTTTTTTAAAGATTTTATTTTATTTTTAAGTCATCTCCACACCCAACAAGGGGCTCGAACTCACAACACCGAGATCAAGAGCTGCACACTCTACCGACTGAGCCAGCCAGGCGCCCCGGAAGTGATATCTAAAACAGTCGTGGAGGGACACTTCCACCAGGGCCTCTCAGAGCCACCTCAGAATCAACAAGTCCACAGCTGTATGGACTGAATTATATTCCCCCCAAATTCATATACTGAAGTCCTAATCCCTAGTACCTCAGAATGTGCCTGTATTTGGAGAAAGAGCCTTGAAAAAGGCAATTAACTTACAATGAAGTCATCTGGGTGGGCCCTAATCCTGTATGACTGGTGTCCTTATAAAAGTAGATTGGGACACAAATAACACAGTGGAGGCACCAGGGATGCAGGGGCAGAAGATGACCGTGGGACAGGCAGCAAGAAGGCAGCCATGTGCAAACCAATGAGAGAGGCCTCAGAGGAAACCGACCCTGCCAGCACCCTGACCTAGGACTTCCAGGCTCCAGAACTATAGGAAAACAAAATTCTGTTGTTTAAGACACCCCGTCTGTGGTATTTTTTTCTGGCAGCCCTCCCAAACTAATACAACAGCTAAACTCATGATTTTTCTCCCCAAAACCAACTCTCTTCAGTCTACCATCCATCCAGAAGGCCAGCCAGAAACCTCACTTTCACATCTCACATTCAGTTCTGCCCCAGGCCCTGTCAATTTCGCCACCCAGCTCTCTCCTTCCAAGGCTATTATTTCCCATCTAGATGATCTTGAAAAACCTCCATGGTCTCCCAACCTGCATTCTGACCAACCCCCAAATGGTCTCCCACTGCACCCAGAGATCTTTTCAAAACACAGATACAACCGTGTCACACCTTACCCCCATCCCTATGGTCCTTCAGTGGCTGTTCATAGGTATTAGGATATAGACAAACTGTGTACCAAGGCCTATGTGACCCAGCCCAGCCTCCACCTCCCTCTCTGCTCCCCAGCCACACTGGCCTTCTTCAATTCACTGAATAAGCAGTGTTCTTTCTTGCTTTGCACACACTGCAGTGTGTGGGCTTTGCACACACTGCTCCTGCTGCCTAGAATGCTCTCTCCCTTCCATCACTTGGCAAACCCCACTCACTCAGACCTTGGCTAAAGCACTACTTCCTTAGGGACCCTTCCTGACCACCCCCCAAGTCTGGGTCACATTCCTTTATAATAAACATTTGGAGGGGCGCCTGGGTGGCTCAGTCGGTTAAGCGGCTGCCTTTGGCTCAGGTCATGATCCTGGGGTCCTGGGATCGAGCCCCACGTCCGGCTCCCTGCTCAGTGGGGAGCCTGCTTCTCCCTCTCCCTCTGCCTGCCGCTCCCCCTGCTTGTGCTCTCTATCTCTCTGTCAAATAAATAAATAAAAATCTTTAAAAAAAAAAAAAAATTTGGAGAAAGGAGTTCCTTTTCTTCAATGGCCTTCTCTGAGTCTATAATCAAATATTCTTTTGTGAGATTCCTTGATTGATATCAGTCTCCCCTACTCAACAGGAAGCTCTGGGAGAGTAAGGACCATGTCTGGTTCACCATCAAGTCCCAGTACCCAGCATGTGCCTGACACAAAGTGAGTCTCAACTGATACCTATTGCATGTATGGATGAATGTGTGCATAGAATTGGGAAGGAATGGAGAACACATTCAGGGCACAGGAAAAAAGGATGCTGAGAGGTCTACCAAGACCCCACCATGCCTGCAGTTTGATCAAGCCAGATCTACAGGTATCAGCTCTTAGGTTCTTGGATGCAATTCCAATGTGGTGGGGGACGGGAGGGGATGGTGATTCCCTACACACAACACCAAGCAATTCTCGGACACCAGCAGATGGTCTGACATTTTCTACCCAGAGACAACATCAAATTCCACACGTGAAGGGGTCAGTCCTACAAGACTGCCCTCCCCACCCACTTCGGATGCCTGGCGCCAGCCCTAGGCTGTCCTGTGCTTCTGACCAACCAGTCACAGATTGTTGGTTCCAATGGCCTTAGGTTCTTTTGCTTGAGCAGCTCACAGAACTCAGGGAAACTTGTACTTAGGTTTACCAATTTATTAAAGGACACGGAAGGACAGGAATCCACAGCCAGATGAAGAGATACATAGGGTGAGGTATGAGGAAAGTGCAAGAAGCTTCCATATCCTTTCCAGGGACACCACTCTGCCCAATCTCCACGTGTTCACCAACCCAGAAGCTCTCTGAACCCAGTCCTTCTGAACTCTTATGAAGGCTTCATTACATAGTCCGGATTGACTAAGCCATTGGCCATTGGCCTTTTCGACCTCCAGCTGAAAATCCCAACCCTCTAATCACATGGTTGGTCTTCTTGGCAACCAGCCCCTACCCTCAAGTGGGGTCCAAAAGTCATCTCCATTAACATAACAAAAGACACCTCTATGACTCTCAACACTTTAGGAAGTTCCAAGGGTTTGGGGAGCTGTGAGCCAGGAACTGTGGAAGAAGACCAAATGCATGTGAGAAATATATTTTGGCCATCTGAATGACCAAATATGTATTTCTTGTAAATCACAATGTAACACCGGAATAGTGTGGTTTATGAATGTAAAAGGTTGAGGGAGGACCCCAAAACCAACCCCTCCCACACACACATACACTAGGTACATACCCAAATTCTAGAAGGTCTCTGTCAAAATTCACACTGTCCTCATAGAACACATTCAGCTCTGCATCAACAGCAACAACTTTCACCTGGAAGGCATTTTAAAAAATGGTGTATAGAAATTTCCTCAGCTTCTACACTGGCCCAGGGGTAGGAACATCACCAGGTGAAGCCCAGCACCCTAGTGAGTGGCTCAGCCTGCAGACCTCCCAGAAGGCTGGGGTACATCACTGTAACCACGACAACGGAGGCTTCCTCTGGGAACATACCCAAAGAGTAGGTAAAATGAAGAGGCTGAGGCAAAATCAAAACACCTATACTGCTCAAGGAATCTTTGGCCCCTCTAAACAACCAAAGCCAAGACCCTCTAGAACCAGATGTTCATAGAAGAGCTGATTCCAGAACCTGGCAGGCAGGCCTGAGTTAAGTCCTCCAGGGGAAGGAATGAGAAGCAGCATTTGGAGATGCCTCTGGGGACCCTGTGTGCAGGGACCTGAGAGACCAGACAAGGTCCCTGGGCTGTTCCCATAGGCTGTGATCATGGTCCTGAGATATACAGGTCCGGAAGGGAGCAGACCTCCAAACTCGGACAGATGGGCACTGAGACCCAGCAAGGCAACCTGACTGCAGAGTCCCACAGGACTTTCTGATCAGGGATTGGTCTAAGCCTGCCTCCCTGACCCATCGCGGAGACCGAGGGGTTTGACAACACGTGTGCTGACTTCCCAAGTTAAAGAAAGGGAGCCCCTTGGCACCCCACACCCAGGTTGAAGGCATTTTGACTCTGCTCGCCTGTCTGCGGAGCCCCGGGAGCAGCACGGCCCGTCCGGGTACGTTGACCCGGGCATGCTGGTGCCAACCAGGGGTGGAACAAAGGTCATGCGTATATCGTGCCCATTCCACGTAAAAAAAGTTTCTAGCAGTGATCTGGTTCCAGGTCACTGGTTATGCCTGTGTGCACGTCTACCCGTCTGTTTGTTCCCGAGTCTTGCGGCCGAGCTCCTTCGGCTCCCTGTCACTCAGCGCCCACGACGGGCGAACCCTTGGGGACCCCGGCCGCTCGGGGTACTTCCCGCTACGTGCCCGCGGGATCCGCCGGGGCTGGGGGCGGGGGCGCCCACCGTTTCCGGGAGGGCCCGAGTCCAGGCCGGGTCGCGGCCGAATCTGGCGGGGTCGCCGGCGCCCCCCCCCCCGCCCCGCCCCAGGAAGCCCTGGAGGGAGGCGCGCCCGCGCGCGGCTCGGCCCAGGGTTCCCCGCGCCCGGGTCCCGCCAGCCCGCCCCTCCCGGACCCGGGGCCCGCCACGGTACCTGCTGCGTGCTGAAGTCCCAGCCCAGGCAGCAGGGGCGAGCGGCGCGCTCGGCCATGGCCGCGGAGGGTCCGGCGGCGCGTCTGTCCGTCCTTCCCGCGGCGGCAGTGTCGCCGCGCTCCAGCGCCCGGAGACGCCGGGCCCGCCCCTCGCCCCGCCCCGCCCCGCCGGACTCCCGGACCCGTGTCACCCGCGGGCTGGCGCTCTGGCGCCGCCTGCCGGGGGACGGGGCGGGGACGCGGGTCCGGCCGGCCCTCGCGCTTCGCGCCTGTGCAACAAGGCAGGTACCCCCTGCGCAGCTCTCTCCCCAGCCCTCGCCTGCCCTCCAATCCATCCACATGGGCTCCCAGCACAGGTCTTGCCCTAACGCGCCCTGGCTTCCCGCGGAGGACGTCTGGGCCAGAGGTTCCACCTTTAATCTCGCTTAGCCCTACCTGTCTCTGGTGGCCCTGAGCCTGGAGGCTTCCATGGCTGTCTCTTGGGTACTAAGGCAGCTGTCCACTCATGCTGGCGACACGGAGGTCACAGACAAATGTATCCTGGGGCTGCAGGCACTGGGCTCCAACGGGCCCTGTCAGGTCCCAGCAAATCTGAATGGTTACCCAGCTCTGACATGTGCCACATTCCACCTCTGTATTTAAAACCAGAGCTCCCCGTGTTCTGGACAGAGAGGCTCATTCATTCCTGGGATCAGCTGGTATTGGTAGTCTAATGTGTGCCAGACATAGTGAAGGGGGCATGAGAAACAAAATCAGACCCACTCACTCCCTTTCCCCCTGGAAGCGAGGACGCCTTCCCTTCCCCACATTCCAGCTGGCTATGTCATTCTTGTCCCTAGGACTGACTTCTTTCCAGAAGCTCTCCCAGGTGAGATGCTCCTCCCAGGGCCTTCCCAGCCCATGAGAGCCCCTCTCATACTTTTGCAATGGTCTGATTACCCGGCTGTCTCTCTTGCTGAACTTGAGCTGCTTGGAGCCCAGATGCTCCTCTTAGCCCGAGGTCCCTAGATCAGTGACAGAACTAGACCCACACGCCAGTAAATTTGACTCCAGAATCTGCATGTTCAACCACTAAAGAAGACAATTTTCTGGGTAGTCTTATGAGAAGGGCTGTGGCAAAATACAAATGTCTCTGAAGGCCAAGGCCGCCTCTTTCTCAAGTTGTCTCATAGGGAGGCCCTATCTTGTCCAGGGGTGCCTTTCTCTGTGGGCTGTGGCACCTAGACCCCATTCTGGTGCCTCCTTTCTTTTGGAGGTCTGAGAGCCCGTTTGCCTGCATAGGAAGCTGCCCACCCACGACTTAACCCACTAGCAAGGAATGAAGACAAAAAGTGTAATTCCAAGTTGTCGATGACTCTCAGGTTGTCCTCTCTGTTGATGCCCTCAGAAAGCACACCCAGCAGTAGAGGTGGTTCCGGGGGACCCTGAGGAAGCGCTGCCATGGCCCGAGTGAGGCTAGTCTTTTGCTTATTTTGCTCCAAGCTTGAACCTGGCTCCCTGCGCAGAACCAATTAAAGAGCCCCTGCACTGACTTGGGAACAAAGCAGAAACTGCCCCGGAGGTGTCTCTTCGCAGTGACCAGGATACCCACGGTCCCCAGCGAGGCTCCTTCCCTCATCCGGGGCCCTAACTGATACCCCAGCCTGAGGGCAAAGACAATCCCCAGAAAAGAAGTCACTTGATTAGATTTGAAAAATAGGAAGTTGCTGTGTGGAGAACAGGGGCAAAAGGCAGGAAGGAGAAATGGGTTAAAATGGGGCTGAAGGAAGCCTGAGGTAAGGCAGAGGTACCAAGGATGGAGACAGTGAATGGAGTCGCGATATATTCAGGAAGCTCTGGGAACCACGTGGCCTGAGAGGGGGAGGAGTCAAAGGCAATGTCCCGTTTCTAGTCTAGGCGACCTGGTTTGTTAACTGTTGATGCATAACAAAGCACCTTCAAAACTTGGTGCCTTAGAACTGTAATCTTGTAGTGTCCCTCACCTGTTGGCAGGTCAGCAGGGGGCGGGGCAGAGGTGTCAGCTGATCTAGGCTAAGCTCAGGTGGAGTGGCTCTGCTCCACATGTCTCTCATCCTTCTCTTCCTGGGACCAGCGGAGGACCCCAGCCATGCTCTTCTTATGGAAGCTGGGGAGCAGAGGAGGGCAAGGGCAAACATGTGAGGCCTCTGAAGGCCTAGGTTGGAACCGGCGTGTTATACTTCCTCTGTGCCACCAGCCAAAGTCTTGTGGACCACCCGAAGCCAAGTGGTGGGGATGAGGCCTGGGCAAGGGTGTGGATGCAGGGAAGGTGAAGAACTGGGGCCACTGATGCAATCTGCCACAGGCCACCACGAGGTGGAGCGTGGTTCCATTCTCTGAGTTAGGAAACATAGGGGGAGAAGCAGCTGGGGGAGTGGGGAAGATGGGGAGATTAGTCAGGACGTGGTAGGTCTCAGGTGCCTGTGGATGTCTGAGTGGAGACACTGAACAGGCAGTTGGATATGTGGCCCCCAGCTCAGGAAAGAGCTCTGGGCCAAAGACAATGAGTTGTGACTTATTAGGTCCCAATAGGAGTGGGCTAGCTTGTGCAGAAAGGGCTCAGAGTGGGACAGATGGAGACCACCGAAGGGAACTGCGAAAGACAAGTCAAAGATGAGGAAGAGGGGCAGTCGTTAAGTGTCTGCCTTCGGCTCAGGTCATGATCCCGAGGTCCTGGGATCGAGCCCCGCATCGGGCTCCCTCCTCTGTGGGGAAGCCTGCTTCTCCCTCTCCCACTCCCCCTGCTTGTGTTCCCTCTCTCTCTGTGTCTCTCTCTGTCAAATGACTAAATAAAATCTTAAAAAAAAAAAAAAAAAAAGACGAGGAAGAGATCATGAGAGGGGGAGTGGTGGAAGCCAATGGAAGAACATTTCTGGAAGGGGAGGGGCTTAACAGGGCTAAATGCTGCATGGGAGCCTGTCCCCTGGTTTAACAGTAAGGCCATTGAAACCTCAGCAAGAACAGACTCAGTGGAGCCCCTTAGGCCTTAGTTCTCTGGTACTTTTTAAAATTTGGCACTGTTGGGGTGCCTGGGTGGCTCAGTCGGTTAAGCGTCTGCCTTCGGCTCAGGTCATGATCCCAGGGTCCTGGGATTGAGCCCCACATCGGGCTCCCTGCTCAGCGAAGAGCCTGTTTCTCCCTCTCCCTCTGCCTGCCTCTCTGCCCACCTGTACTCTCTCTCTATCTCTCTGTCAAATAAAGAAATAAAATATTTTTTAAAAAATAAAATAAAATAAAATTTGGCACTGTTTCTATGGTTTCTTCATACTGCTATAGGTATACCTAATTCTGTGGTTCCAAACGGTGCCACGTGAACTGCTAATTTGAGGTGGTCCACAGCTCCAACAGTAGACTGTGCTACGTTCCTTTCTATGATATATATCTTTGCAGAGCTGTGCCTTCAGCCGTTGTGGCGAGAAATAAGTACTACAGGGAAACCAGGGTGAAACAGAAAATAAGGACCGCAATGTCCAATCCGATGGCAACATTTGAGAAGTTGGGCGGTGCCCAGTAGGCACACACATCCTCTTAATAAGTCATTCTAGTTATTTAAGAATGAAATGAAATATTATTTTCTCCTCCAATTTATGTGCATTGTTTTCTTCAGATACCACCAAGTTGTTAGAACATAAATATATATTCAGCTGTTTGGACCTAACTACTTAATACACAGAATTCTTAGCCATTGCTTTTGACCTAGGAGTTCCGTGAAAAAATTGTTGAGATTTTAAGGATGCAGTGATGTGAGAACATTTGGGAACCCCTGATCTAGTTGTTTGCTTCTAGCTGCTTCATCATACTCAATAGTATGCCAGCCCTATATTTTACTGTCCAGGCTCCCCATGAGTGACACCTCGGTGGACTCCAGCTCCCCATTAATGCAAATAGCACTGCACAGAACGTCCCCATCCGTGACCCTATGGACCCGTGTGAGGGAATTTTTCAGGGTTATATATCCAAGAGTAGGATTTATACCCTGTGTGCATAACTAGTTTGATTAGAGTGCTGGATTACTCCTAATGTTAACCATGCCAATCTACACTCTCAGCTAGAATGTACAAAGGCATCTCTATCCCCACATCTTTCATAAAGTCCTTGGCATTTCCACTGTGAGAATTGATAAAAGGAAACTTCATTTCGAATAAAGAGCGGAGGCCAGCAGGGGGAGCTCTCACACCCAGCACTTGTCAATTGCAGCCACTAGGAAGACAAGGACCCTACCCCTTGGCTACTACTTTAGCTACTACTTTACTATCCCAGCAGGCAGAAGGCAGGCCTCTTCATCCCCACCCCCATCAAGAGCCCAGCCAATGAGAGACAGTCACAACTCGGCCAATCAAAAGCCACCATACTTCAAACTCCCAGTTTCCTGCAATGGACCTTTTGTTTATAATATCAGCCCCCACTCCCCCATTTCTTCTATAAAAGAAGTGGTCCTGCCCAGTGTTTTGCACACTTGCCTACGGTTTTGTGGTAGCATGGTTGTACCTGATTACAGTTCTCGGCTATTCCCAAATAAACCCATTTTTGCTGATGAAGTAATTGGTACTTTTATTTTTTTTAAGGTTAACACCATCCTTCTAATATTTCCCAATCTAGTAAGTGAGGAGTGATTTCTCATTATTGTTTTAATTTTCATTTCCCTCCTTACTGATGAATTTGAGCATCTCTTCATATATACTTAATAGACATTTGGGATTTCCCATTCAGTGACTTCCTGCTTACGTCCTTTGCCCATTTTTCAGTTGGGCAAAGGATATAAAGACAATTTTGTCTTTATCTTGTGGATTTGCAGGAGTTTCTGACATTTCAGGGTATAAAAACCCTGTCTGTTTTAGATGTTGCAAATCTTTTCTCCCAATATGTCATTTATCTTCTGACTTTGTCCATCTTGCCCTTTGTTGACTAGAAATCTTTAACTTAAATATAATAAAATCCATTGATTTTTGAGCTATTTGATCTTGGTTAAGCAGTATTACTTTCAGACCACAGAGCTATTATCTGACATTTTCTACAAAGATATCAGCCTACGTTTTCTTCTATTAGTAAGGTCTTTGATTTTTGAATCATTGAGTTTTCTTTGAATCTAGGTGTGTGTCAGCTGAATAAATTACACCATAATAC